TTTCTCTCTCTCTCACTCTCTCTCTCTCTCTCTATATATATATATATATTTCAACCATCAAGTTTTCGTCAGGCGGTACATACTAGTTAACTTAATGCTTTATTGGCTTACTTTATATGTCACACAACAGGAACTGTTACAGAAGGGGATGGGTGAGGCAAGAATGGGGAAGTATGGTGGAACGGGGAGTGAGTGAGATAAAGAATCTTTTACTTACTCACATCCGGGTTCATATATATCTAAGATATACTTTCTAGTATGCCTACACGCCGACATGATCTCACATCTTGCATTTAACAACTTTGCTTGATTTGGATACTTAAGTAAGCCTTGGTTCTCCTCAGTATACTCCATCGTATACTCGGGCTTTGGTGGTTATTTCTTTCTTTTAATTTCCACATATGGCTAGCCAGTTTGGTACAATTTCTATGGCTTCCTATTCTGAAGGATGACATGTGACTATTTTATTGAAGATATGTTCATTACACCCCACGTATATTTTGCTCTGGCAATTTTCGCCCTTCACTTCTGCTTTATAAAACACTCCTTCCTCTTTACACACATCATCCAGGAGGCACTTATTTTTTCCTCTGCAGTTACATTTCTAACTATTCACCATTCTTCGTTGCGAGCTAACCTTGAAATTCTAGATGTTTTGTCTTTTCATTGTAGTACCGAAATTGCTAGTAAAACTGTAACTCAATTTCACTGTGTTTCTCTTAAACATCTTGTCTAACACAGAACTTTTGGGGAAGTGATTATATAGCAACTGAAAAGATATCTTCATTGTGTTAGACTTCACCTCTAAATTAAACGTTGTGGTTGGTTAAACCAAATAATGTTTCTTTTTCTCCGTTTATGCCTCATTTTTTTTTATATTCATTTGAGATCTGAATTCTATTTGCGCCCCTTCTTTTTCAATACCTTTTCGAACACTGTCTTGTTTTTCTTCGAAAATGGTTCAAGAATAATTTCTGGATAGTCTGCACTCTTAGGGATGTGCTTGATTACACTTGCAGAATGGTTGAATCCAGCGTTGTCATACCTTAATTTTGTCTTCGATTTCAGGTAAGGCGAGACGTTTCCGGTTTGCAGATTAAATTCGACGATCAAATATTGGATGACTTTTTTCTTCGTCTTCTTCTCAATTTTAAATTTAAGCTGTTAAAGACTTTAAAAAGTTGTTTTCTAATTCTGTCGCTTGCTCTTCTGTTGTCCGGCACCTCTCCACAGCCCGTCGTCCCTATACAGCACGTAGATGTCTGTGTATAATATTTCGTTGATTTTATTTATAATATACAGTCCCATCAATTCCAAAAACCTCAGTACCGTCGAACAAACCATTTGGGGCATGAAATGCCCCTTAGCTTGGTTTCTTAATCCATGCCTCGCCATTGTGGAGCAAAAGAGATTTACAACAATGAAGGATTATTTCCAACTGTTCAGGTTGTATATCAATAAAGGCCTTAGCAAACTTCAAAGCCTCAAGTAATCCTTTCTCCTTATGGATGGAGTAAAATCCTTGATGTCATATTTCCTGAATACAGCCCTTTGTTTATTTTCACTTCCATGGGACCAAGAAATACATATATTTCTACCCTTACACTGATTGGCCTGCGTAGCATTTCTTAATAAATTACACACTTTTGCAAGCATTGTTGGCTTATTTTACCTAATTTTATTTTAGTTGGGTTGATTCGGCGAAATGCAGGATCATTGAGGAGATCACCTGTAAGGTCCTTATATTTGTTTGCTACATAATATCCGGACCCTGTCACCTATATCCAGCTTGACTGTGACGTATTTCTCCTCCTCATTTATGCTTGCCTAAAAAACGTTATCCTCCCCAAATACACTGGCCAACGATTAGTTTTTAGACGAAGAAACAATTTTGATTATTATTACCACACACACCATATATATATATATATATATATATATATATATATATATACTAACACAGATATACGATGTTTTCTGGGGAAAATACCTTCAAATATAGAAACAAAAGAAAAATATATTATTTAGCATAGTTCTTTGACCGTAACCAAAAATTCATACTCATTCAATAAAATTACGCTTTTTATCATTTTACTCCAAGCAAGGCAATAAAGCGACTATGGCTCACGGGTTTACCGAGAGTGAAGGAAACTGGTGTAAATTTACTGAAGAGAAATGATAATAAAATTCAAGAGACAGATATGCCCCCAACTAACTCACTGTCCAAATGCACACAACTCAAACACACACGTACATACAGACAAACATATCTTTAGTCATTTCATGTCAAGCATGGCAATAAAGCCACTAAGGTGCAACGAGTTACTGAGATCGAAAGAAATATGGAGGGCAATAAAAAAGAGGATTCCCGGTGACAGGGGATGTCAGCTAATGTTTACATTTTTGAAGATTGTAGTTGACAGAAAAGCAGGAATGTGGAAGAGACTGTAAGAAGAGAAGATATGGTTACAGTTAACGAATTCATAGGCAAAATTATAAGACGTTATTTGCTAATCTAATAGTACGCTTGGATTCATGAAGTCGATTTGGCAAAGGGGAAAGCTCATCAGAGCAACTATCATGAAAATATTTGTATAACAGGCAGAAAGAAGCTACGTTAAGGTGATAGGAAATTGAGTACAGTTACTAAAAGAATGTTCCATTGTTTAAAGCAAATCAATCCTTGTACTATGTTATGTAGGAATAAATTGTCGCCGCCGATTATTCCGGAGCGTATGATTATCGACACGCATTTTTAGAACCTGACAATTAAATTTTTATTAAAAGAAAGAAAACAGCATTTGTTATTAACAAATAATTCGCCTACAAAAACGCCTGAAAATTATGTACTAACGAACCCATTAAATGGTATAGCACGTCAGGTTATATGACAGTTCCGTGTAAGATACGGGTTCAAATCGAACCCGCATCCTACACGAAACCGCCATATAACCTGACGAGCTATACCATTTAGCTACACAAGCAGCGTCTAGTTAGCCAGGTTAAATGGTTTGCTCTTTAGCTATTAAGTTGGTGCATAATTACCAGGCGTTTTTCAACGATATTTATTAGAAAAAAAGAAACATAACAATTCAAAAATAACATTTTTAAATGATTATTCCGGAGCATATGATTATCGACACACATTTTTATAACCTGAAAATGAAATAATGTTTTTATTAAAAGAAAGTAGACAAAATGGCATTTTTATTAACAAATAACACGCCTACAAATACGCCTGATAATTATGCACCAACCCAATAGAAGAAATATATGCTTTCGAATTTCGATAGTGAATCCGAAAGTTTTTCATATACTTACGTTTTTTTTACTTCTTCCTTTACACTTTCGCCTCTTTATCCTTCATCTTCAATTTTTTAAGCCTTTCCCCCACATATTTGGCTGATTCTTCTGTGCGACCTTATCTGCTAATCTAATAGTACGCTTGGATTCATGAAGTCGATTTGGCAAAGGGGAAAGCTCATCAGAGCAACTATCATGAAAATATTTGTATAACAGGCAGAGAGAAGCTACGTTACGGTGATAGGAAATTGAGTACAGTTACTAAAAGAATGTTCCATTGTTTAAAGCAAAACAGTCCTTGTACTATGTTATGTAGGAATAAATTGTCGCCGCCGACACTGGAGTTTGAACACAGATCACCAGAGAACAAACAGAGGCGATCCCATTATGGTAAAGGAAATGTATATATGGGAATTATCGTGGCGCCCAAGTGATCACTCTCCGAATTACTTCGGAGGTGTGCTTGTCGAACTCTCTGGCTCTTGGCAGAGTGGAACCCAGATGAGGCTATGGCAAAGGGCAGAGTCTCGTCTGGGTGGTAGACAGCTACACGACCCCGTTTTTTTACGGGGTTACGGGGAATTTTTGTCCGAGCATACGGGCTCGGATAGCCCACAATAAACTCGGCCTTGAGCCACATCCAACCACGTGGGGCGATAGGTGAATATCATTACTTCGGAGGTGTGCTTGTCAAACTTTATAACCTCCGGGCAAAGAGGAACCAAGACGAGGCTATGCCAAAGTACAGAGTCTCGTATGGGGTGGTAGACAGCAACCCGACCCTGTTTTTACGAGATCTACGGGGAATTTTTGCCCGAGCCTACGGGCTCGGATACCCCACTATAAAACTGACATTGTGCTGCATCCGACCACGTGTGGCGGTTAGAGAATCTCTCACTGTTCGAATTACTCCGGAAGTGTGTTTTTCAAACTCTCTGCCTCCGGGTAGAGACGAACCCAGACAAGGCTGTACAGAAGGGTAGAGTTTCTTCTGGGGTGGTAGATAGCTACCCGACCCCGTTTTTACAGAGTCTACGGGGAATTTGTGCCCGAGCCTACGGGCTCAGATACCTCACTATAAATTTTGCCTTGTGTCGCATCCAGCTGCGTGGGACGGTTAGAGAATATCTCACTATACGGATTACTATTTGGATCAATATTCGGTGGCTACTATTTGAGCGAGTATTATCAAGCAAGTACTATTAGTGCGAGTGTTATTCGAAGGCGTCCGACACCAAAATTGTTCTACTATAGTTGTATCTGCGATTACAAAGTTTCTACTCCAAGGAGCACTACAAAATTGCGTTGACATTTCAAAAGTAGCAACGAGTGTTCGTTGACATCACAAAATACTATATCAGTTTGACAGACTTCTGGGTTCACAACACGAATGTTTATCCATTCGCGTGTTACTATGAAACGGATTTGTCAGAATCACACCTAATAACAATCACCAGAAATAGCTATAGGAAAAACAGAGGAATCCCGTTCAGAAAGGTAATTTTAAGAGATTGGTCCTGTGGCTTTTTAATCGTCCTGACAAAGACTCAATGGAAGTCTCCTGGCAAAGTGGAGTGTCGCTGGAAGTCTCTTGACAAAGTGGAATCTCATTAGAAGTTTTATGACAAAACCGAATCTCAATAGAAGTCTTTGGAAGTCCTCTGGCAAAGTGAAGACTCATTGCATATCGCCTGGCAATGCCGAATCTCAATGGAAGTCTCTGGAAGTATCCTAGCAATGTGGAGTCCCACCGGTAGTCTCGTAACAAAGCCGAATATGAATAGAAATCTCTGGAAGTCATCATACAAAGTGGAGTCTCACTGGAAATCTCCTGGCAAATCTGAAACTAAATGAACTCACACAATATACAACCATATATTAATTTGTTTTTTACGGTTTATCAACTCCTTATTATACTGGGTATATTAATTAAATGCATTAATTCTTTATTACACTTGGGTTTATACAAATGTATTATTTAAAGCTGGAATATTTTGAATTAGAATAATTATTTTCTTTTGGCCAGTGAATATTACATCAACAAATTTTCGAGAGTAACATTTTTTTCAGCTAGAAGTCATACTATTTAACCCGTAGCCGAGGTAGGAGATGTATTCATACCTTTCCCATGCTATTTGCGCGTCAATGAATGTAACAAAAGCCACTGAAATTCGGAGTCTGATCTCCTATTTCTCATTATACCAGCCGCACATCTATGAAGCAAGATGTAACGTAAGCGTCATGGACAGACATACATGTAGATATATTATAGACAGATGAATTTGATATTAGAAAAATAGACGAGAGTAAACAACTAGCTTTCAACACTAATAATAAGAAGAATAAGAAAAGATACCCCCAAAGATGAAACTTAGACACCAGTGAATTGATCTACAACGACAAAGGAGAGAAACCCACAAAACTTATAACATATAATACTTGTAAGTAATTTTAAAACCTATAATATAGGTTCCACCATTAGGTCACGTAAAAAAGCAGCATATCACGATTAAAAAACGCTCGATGTGACGAGGTGATGACAGATTACTATGGATGATCAAAATTGACACTTTTTGCAAAGTAAGCGAACGCGGTTTTTCGTTTTTAACTAGTACTTTTTAAATATTAACATTTTTATTCAGCAATTATGTAATATCTATTTTTTATTTCATACTTTCTTAATTAGGTAATTATTTAAAGTTTTTTATTAATTAGATAATTTTTGAAATTTTTTTAAGGATTATGTCATGTATACATTTCCATACGTAGAAATTATGAACGTTTTTTTCAATAAAATTAAAAAAAAATTATTTTAAAAATATTTGGGGTCAAACGACTGTTATGTGCTTTTCAAATTTCGATTCGTAAATTTACTTTTTCATTAACGTTATCATTGCATTACGTGCTTGAAAGCAATAAAGAATTTTAAATGATTTTTGAAGTATTAAGAAGTTAATGAAAAAATTTTTAGAAATTTGTAAAAAATACATTATTCATCGAAAAAATTTTTATTTCTTCACAAAATAATGTCCTTACTATAACGTATTTATAAAAACAGGTGAAAGCTTTTCTAATTAATTAATGTCATAGTTTTTACATTTTTTTTATAATTCAGAGCAGATTTCCTATGATATGGGGTACTGTTTTACAAACAAAACTGGTGATTTACTTTCTACAAAGAGTCCTGTTTATAATTGATAAAACAAATCCCGCGCTTGAAGATTTAATTTCTCGAAATTTCATGAAAATATGTAAGTGGGTGGAAACATGTTAAAAAAAAATCCCTTTTTAAAAAGATTTTCTAAAAAGAAAAATTTCAAAAATAATTTCATTCATTTGTGAATAAGTCCTGAAAGTTTCATTAAAATCCGACAATTATTTGATTTTTGCAAGAATTTTTAAACTTTTAAATTTTTTTTGTATCGAAAATTTATGCCAAAAGTGTAGAAACCTACTATAATACTTAGTGGAAAGACCTAAAGCATTCCATCTGAGTTAAGATCGCCAAGATTTAACAGAAACAAAGCAGCAGGACCAGATGGGAGTGTAGCAGCGTGTAGCATCAGACTTAAACTATTTCGGGATCCCCATACAACCGTAGTGAAATACTGGAAGATCTCAGATATGTCTTCATAGCGATGGGAAATAAACCAGTGGTAGAGAATGCGAACTCCACCCGAAAACCCTCCTAATGAGCTACATAACTAAGCTTATATTTTAACATTCTAATGAACAAAACTGCTCGCAGAATTAGATCAGAAATGGAGCAAGAAATATGAGGCTTTATTCAAGACAGTGGAAAAAGAAATCCCATATATTTATAATCATAATGAACAATACAAATGTAGAAATTCATATCCCTATCTTTCGTAAATTGCGTAAAAGCTTTTGATAAGATGAAAACCTATTTGATCTGCTAAGTAAACCCGACTTATATAGGAAACACATTAAAACATTTAATGTGACCAAAACACCAGCGTGTACATTGAAAACGCGTACGCGAAAATAGAATGAAAAGTAAGAAAAATGAATTTTCCTAGAGAGAACGAGAAAATCTATATATTATCCTCGGCCATAAATTTATCAGTATAGTATAGGCAGATAATACTGTGTTGATGGCTGACTCGGAAGGAAATCTGTAACAATATCTTATAGAGGAATTAGCAAAGAAAAGCAAGAAATATGGTCTATTAGGCCTAAGATGTATATGTTTTGTTTTGCATATCTCCCTGCGTAGTAGTAATCATATTACAGTTCTCCATGCTCTGAAGCCACTCTATGTTCACCAGTTGTTTTCTATTTATATTTGTCTATCTAATTTGCTGACGATACTAAAGTATGAACTTCACAAAAAGAGAAAGACAAAGCTGTGAGCTTCGAACTGAAGACATCAAACACCTTCAGAAGTTTAATAAGATGGTCAGTAGAGTAACAGATAAAGCAAAGGATGATAAAGAGGCCCTAAGAAACATTAGAACAGCGATAGATGTATTCCAGAAACCAAAGAAAGTAAGAAGAAACAAGGAAACTTTGTAAGAAATAAAGAAGAGTGCTGAAATGCTATGCTATATCTATCTTTCTATACTACAGTGTATGCTGGACAATTCCTTTGTAAAGAGAGGAAATAGAATCAGTATCAAGATAAGTGACAATATGCCATCCGTTAAGAACGAGAAAATTTCAAATGAAATGGAAACTAGAATGAAATTTAAATTCAGAAAAAAAAAACGGTTAAAGGTTTTTAAGATATTTAAGAAAAGAGGGGTTGTAAAATATAATATTTGCAGAACATACAAAACGGAGAAAAGGGTCAATGAATCAACGAGGAATGATATTCTGCGAATGAATGTCGGAGCCAGGTTAAGATGGAATGGTAAAGAGACAAAACCTCCTAAGAGTAACAAGAGAAATTCAGTTATGGAGTGACATGGCGATAAGCACTTATTTAAAATACTGGAAAAGAGAATTACAATTCGATGAATTTGGGGAAACATATTGGGTTGGTGAATAATTAACAGGCGTTTTTCAACGAAATTTATTATGAAAAAAAGAAACATAACAATTCAACAATAACATTTTTAAATGATTATTCCAGAGCGTATGTTTATCGACACGCATTTTTATAATCTGAAAAAGAAATAATGTTTTTTATTAAAAGAAAGTAACAAAATAGCATTTTTATTAACAAATAATTTGCCTACAAAAACGCCTGAAAATTATGTACTAACGAACCCATTAAATGGTATAGCACGTCAGGTTATATGACAGTTCCGTGTAAGATACGGGTTCAAATCGAACCTGCATCCTACACGAAACCGCCATATAACCTGACGAGCCATACCATTTAGCTACAAAAGAAGCGTCTAGTTCGCTAGGTTAAATGGTTTGCGCTTTAGCTATTGGGTTGGTGCATAATTACCAGGCGTTTTTCGATGATATTTATTATGAAAAAAAGAAACATAACAATTCAAAAATAACATTTTTAAATGATTATTCCGGAGCATATGATGATCGACACACATTTTTATAACCTGAAAATGAAATAATGTTTTTATTAAAAGAAAGTAGACAAAATGGCATTTTTATTAACAAATAACACGCCTAAAAATACGCCTGATAATTATGCACCAACCCAATAGAAGAAATTTATGCTTTCGAATTTCGATAGTGAATCCGAAAGTTTTTCATATACTTACGTTTTTTTTCACTTCTTCGTTTAAACTTTCGCCTCTTTATCCTTCATCTTCATTTTTTTCAGCCTTTACCCCACATTTTTGGCTGGTTCTTCTGTGCCGTCTCTTTCGACGTTGTCTACATATTCACTATTGTCTGTTTATCTCTCTTCTATTTCTTCACCGTCCATCTTCCCCCCTCCCTATCCTTCAACTCATTTTCCTTCGTTCTCTTTTAAGCCTTTACATCTACTTGTACTTCCTCTTCTTTTTTTTTTTTTCGTCTCCTTCATTTTGCCATCGCCAATCTTTTTCACGCATCGATGTGTTCTTAAGTCCCCTTTTCTTTCTTTTCTGATATTTTACCCTGTCTGACCCCTTAACTTGTTTTCCCTTTCATTTTCCTTATATTCATTTGTCATTTTATTCTCTTTGTCATCAGTTCATTTTTCTTCGCATCCTCGTCTTCCCCTACAGCGTTTTTCTCTCTCCCTTTTCTGTTGTCTTTGCTTCATTCCCATTCGACTTTGTTTCTTTTTTTTCTTCTGTCTACCTTTTACTTCAACGTACTTTCCTAATGTGCAATTCTTTTTTTTTTTCTGTTGAGGGTTCTTCCCTTTTTACACAAATGGACTCTCCCAGGGTATACATATACTACTGCTAGTGAATACCCGGGGGAAAGAACGAGAAAGAAAAACGAACGAGCACGAACCAGAACGAACGTAACAAGAGAGAATCACAGTGAGCAAGCAGGTAGACTCAATGATACGTCGATACCAAAGACTGTATATATCTATTTTGCTACTAACCCGTATTCCTGGAACTACTAACCTGCATTACCAGTTTGTATTATTACGTTAATACATTATTTTTCTATATTCCTTCTTGGCGTTTGTTATTTATTGGTACCGGATTTCATCCCAGAATCCACAACACGTTCTTTCTTTCTTTCTTTCTTTCTTTCTTTCTTTCTTTCTTTCTTTTCTTCTACTATTTTTACTTCCCTTCGGGTTACTTATTATTCATCTTCCCTTTGTCATTTTCTTCCTTTCATTCTTTCTTCAACTCATTATTTTCCTTCTTCACTTTTTGTTTTCATCTTTGATCGCGTTTAGTCATAATCTTTTTTCTTTCTTTTTTCTTCAACTTTCTTCTTTACTTACATCTTTTTTCCTTTTCTTCAACCTTCTAGCATCATATTATTTCTTTCTTGCTTTGTTTCCTTCTTTCTTTCTTTCTTTAACTTCATCTCATTCTTCTTCTTCTTCTTCTTCTTCTTCTTCTTGCTATTACTTTTGTTTTTATATTCTTTCTTTCTTTCTTTCTTTCTTTCTTTCTTTCTTTCTTTCTTTAACTCTCATGGCATTCTTTTCTTTCTTTACTTTTATTTTCTTTGTTTGTCCTTCTTTATTCTTCCTCCTTTCGTTTAATTTTTCTTTCTTTCTTCACCTTCATCTCATTCTTTTCCTTCTTTAATTTTGTTTTCATCGTTTTTCTTTTTCTTCACCATTCTAGCATCATATTATTTCTTTCTTTCTTTTTCCTTCAGCTTCAACTTCTTCTTCTTCTTTTTCTTCTTCTTTTTCTTCTGTACTTCTTTTGTTTTCATATTCTTTCTTTCTTTCTTTGTTTCTTTCTTCTACGGTCATATTATTGTTTGTCTTCTTTTTTCATTTTCATCTTTTTTGCTTCTTCTTTGCTCTCCATTCGTCAAGTTTTCTTTCTTTCTTCAACTTAATCACATTCTTCTTTACTTTTGCTTTCGTTTTTTCTTTCTTTCTTTCTTTCTTTCTTTCTTTCTTCTTCTTCCATCCTATTCTTCTTCTTTTCTTTCACTGACCTTTCACTTTCTTATCTTGTTTTTCTGCCTTTCTTCCGCCATCTTTATTCACTTTGTGAAGTGGCTCGGGATGAGTATCTTTATGCATCTCCTTATACTGACAATTCAACAAAATTAATATTTGAATTTGAAAACACAAATTTCGTGTGTTAATGAAAAACAATTTCTCATATTGCGTGACTGTTTGATATTTGCAACAAACGAAACAAGGAGATTTATTTTCCCCGCCCGCCAAATCATTGATTATCGTCGATGTCTGGTCGTTACGTAAGAGATATGAAATTCTTGTCACATGTCTTTCACGTTGAAGTTGAGTGTGTGTATTTTATACAGATAGCTCTTTTTTTTTCTCATAAAAACCAAATTAGGGTTTAAAGTTTGACAAGCTGATCTCGCACTGTATTATGAGTGAGGGTGTTCGTTTAGTCTAAGGGATAACCGCCCGGCATGTGATAACAGAGAGCCGAGTTCGAATTCAAGTTGCATTCAATTAAGCGCAAATATTCTTTGGAAAGATAAGGATACAAATAATTCTGTGGGTTAAATAGTAGGAATTGTATTGGAATTTAATTTAATATTCATTTGCCAAAAAAAAAAAAAAGAACATTTTCTTCCAATCCAAAATATATTTCGGCTTAGAATTGTATATAACTGTAAAAATCAATTTAATATTATTAGTGAATAGTGAGTTCGGTCCTCACTGTGGGGTACCTTGTTTGCGGTATTTTTTTTCACAGCTAAACTATGCTTGGGGAATAGCTATACAAATTGTAAAACCCAAGTTATTACATTTCACTGAAGCAGATGTTAAACACAGCATTATCCCCTCATCTCACTTGTTTTTTTTTTCTCACTGAAACTGCAGAGCGTCTCTGATATGTCTTTTCCGTCTTCCCTTGCTATCCAAACGGAATAATCTGCTATGTATGAGGTATCGGCTGAGCCTTTTGTTTCTTTCTTTCTTTGAAACCAATCAGCGTCCCTTATATGTCTTTTCCGTATTTCTTTGCGAGCCAAACGGAATAGACCATTATTTGTGAGGTGTTAGAAGGTTTTTTTCTTTCTTTCTGTTGTGGAGTGATTTCACAGTGGAGGCTTGTATTTGTACTAAGTCGGTCCTAAAATAGGTTCGACGTACAAAACGTTAGGAACTTGACATAATAGGTATAACGCAGAGTAATCTAATTGTGGTGGCTGATACTTTAGTATTCGACTAACTGTCGTACGGCATCGACTGACGGAGCGACTGTTTACTCTTACTTATTAAGTGGGGAGATAACTATAGAATAGGTGTGTTCTATTATAACACTTTCTTTGGAACCAAACAGCATCTCTTATATGTCTTTTCTGTCTTTCCTCGCAATCCAAACGGAATTGCATATTATTTACGAAGGATTGTCAGATTCTTTCCTTCTTTCTTTCTCTCACTAAAGACAAACGGCTTCTCTGATATGTCTTTTCCGTCTTTCTACGTGATCAAGACAGAAGAGATCATTATATATGAGGTATTGGTAGAGATTTTATTTCTTCCTTACAAAGAAACCAAACAGCTTCTCTCATATATCTTTTTCCGTCTTTCCTCAAATCCAAACGGAAGAGTACATTATTTAGGAGGTATTAACAGGGTTTCAGTCATTGGCAGGATATAAGGTAGGCGCTAATTGACTAAACGAATAAGTAAAGAACAAGCCGAATCATAATATGAAGTTAATTTTTTTTAAATTTTTTTCGAACATTTTCGACATTGATTCCAAAATCCGCTTTTTTCTTCATTTAACATTTTTCCTGCTATCTAGTTTCTCTTCTCTCCTTTTCTTAAATTTATCATATTTTAGAAATATACAGAGGGAAATGAATGCAGCCCCGTTCTTCATCCTCCGGCGTATTGCTGGTACCTTTCAAGGAGTAAGTTATGAATAGATGATTTGTATAGTTCTGAACCACCGCGGCAAGATGGCGCTCTTCCAAGCAAGTAATGGCATATCCAGCATGATATCGATTTGATTTCAAATTCTTTTCAAAGTCGCACAAGTGTACTGTCTGTGTTTGAGCATTAGATCGTGAGATATGCTGGGATAAGATTCAATGAGAAGAAAAAAAAAATTAAGCCTAATCGGCTATCATGTCAAGATGACGTGCTCATTTTGTTTAATTAGAACTGTTTGACAGGGGTCGGATTGTACATCTCTGAAAAGTTGGATAGTGATTTCAGAGAACTGAAACGCATCTTGAACGCGGTGTGTCGCTGGTGCGTTGGCGTTGTTAATAAGGGTTAAACTCCCTGAAGACAGGCTGGTACGAAGTAGACTTTACGAGAATAAGTCGGGTAGATAACGATCGACACATGACGTGAAGAGATAAAAATTAAAGAGTTTAGGGAAGGAAACACGCAGGAAACTGTTCCAAAAATTAGCAGTACAGTGTAACCCGGATATAAGAGAAACCCGGATATAAGAGAGATTTTCTCTGGTCCCAAATTAGAGCCTGTGTTACCTAAACAAAATAGACCAAACCCGGATATAAGAGAAACCCGGATATAAGAGACTTCTTCTGCGGTCCCGACAACTCTCTTATATCCGGGTGACACTGTACTTGGAAAAATCTTACTTGTTATAATGGTTATCCAAGCGTAGCTTAGATATGGCACAAGGCCGAAAGTATGAGGCACCCAGTGAGGATCGAACTCACTATTCAGTCATAATTGTTCTAAGGAGACAAGCTTGTTAACCATAACACCACCTCGAGGTGCCCCCCACCACAAAATAAAGGAAAAAAAAAGCTTACTTGTTATATTTGGAAAAAAGAGGAAGCAAGTCAGTAAAACCACTAAGACACATGGGGTTAGTGTATGTGAAAGAATTTAAAAGCAGAAACATTACTAAGAGCGAGACACAGTAGACAACGATTGACATTGCATTTACTTTTTTTAAAAGATAAAAGTTGGCTGTCAAGTGAGTTCCATAAACAAGAAGTGCGATAGAAGAAACTTTCAGTATAGAACTTACGGTTACATCTAGCCGTTTTAACTGGAAAAATTATGAGACCTAGCCGCCAATCTAGTACTGCGCTTAAATTCGTAAATATTAGGTATCATAGCGACGATCCCATACCGAACGATTGCCATAAAAGTATTTATAGAAAAGTGAATTATAGTGGAAGTGCTACATTACGGCGGTGGGAATGTGATTGAAGCCGAGATGCCGGGCCAGGATTAGTAATATTGTTGATTCTTCTTTGGGTTTTATCAAAAATCTCTAAATAAATAGCAGGGGGACCGGACTATATATGGCAGCAATATTCAAGGCTTGGTCGAATGTTAGACTTATAGATACGTAAGATAGATTCTGGAGAGATAAATTCTCTAGCACTACACAGTGAACCAACTTTTTTAGCAGCTGATGAAGCAATGGATTCAATATAGTTTCTCTACTTCATGTCAGCCGAGAATGTCAGCATCGAGAAGGCACCATGTATTTCTCTACTGAAGGCAGAAAGTGACCACTCAGATGATTTCGGGCGCATTCGAAAACAAAAGAGGATGACTTGACTTCATGGAACTGGCTTTCCGATTCATGTTTAAAAAATTAAAACTAATGGAACTAACTTGCTTGGTTGTTTTTATTTAAAGGAATATCAATACCTCTATGGGTTTTTTTTAATGCTGAAATCTAAATATTTTGTACGAATTTCTTAAAACAATATTGGTTTATTGATACAAATCTTATGCACATTTTCTTTTTAGATAATAATGGTTTTAAGTATGAAAGGAGAATTGGATTCATGCCTTTTCAAAGAGTATTTGCGCGTACGATAACGAACTCAACTGGAAATGAGTCTCCGGTTAACAATTCCGAGAAATTATCCATTACACCATCCGCACATCTGGTTTTCCTAAGTGGGAAACGGTGTTAGAACGTGATCTGGCCTTAAGACCTTAGTAGAATTTAAAAAAAAAAAAAAACGGCATGGAAATATTGACAAAGTAGCGCTAGGTTTACAATTTTGCTTCTGTGGGGAAATGGTGGTAGATTGGACATTAAATCATCCCTCATAAGGCCGCGTAAATGATTTCGAATTCCACCCTTATAAGAACTTCATTAATTTATATTTTCCTTTTGCAATACCAATCGTCATCTTAATTCCTGTCCTTTTATTGCATTGCTTAATATGTTTTCTCCTTTTCTCATAGACTTTTAATCTTGGTAACCTCGTGTTTTCAATGTCTTTGTTGTCTTGCGGTGAATTTAAATTAAAACAAACAAACAAAAAATACCGTATCAAATCTCAAAAGTGAGGAAATGCCATGGTGCGTCCTAGCTGCAAATGTCAGAATTTAGTGGAACTAAAGAATGAAGCTCATCTAAACATTTACCATATAAAGTGCGATAAATTAGTATAAGACTTGTAACTTTGTGTTTGTTGGAAAGAAGTTAAAGCATTACGCCCCGAGCAAGGCGTGAAGCCACTAGGATGTAGGGGGTTGCAGAAGATTTGGAGCGAGAGCAGATAGGAGTGATAGAAGAAAGGATGAGGAGAATGATAGTGGGTCGATCAAGGTAACTGGAGGTGTCGATTGTCATTACATTTGAATAGTTGGAGATTATAGCTCTCAGAGAAACAGTATTTGGGAAGGGTGTTCCACAGGCGAGAGGTGTGAGGTTGAAGCTTTTGGAGTAGAAGAGACAGCTACATTAAAAAATTTCTATAGTGTAAGGGTGGGAGCGGGATGCCAGCCTCGTAGGGCGCTTGAATTCATGGAGTCTGGGAACCAGTGAAAGCAGCTCAGCGGAGCAATTACCATGAAAGTATTTGTAGAAAAGACAGAGAGAGGCGACGGCGCGTCTGTGAGACAGTGACTGCAGACGAAACGCCAGATCAGGGCCAATTAGATTACATATCCGTCTCTGGATCTTGTCAAGTAGTCCGAGGTAAGCAGAAGGTGCCCCAGTTAAGAATGGAAAGAAAGTATAGTGGAAGGAGGCAGATTCTACCGGGATTGACATAGTCAGCTGACTATTTGTTCAGATTCTTTAGCATTGTTTAGGGTTGTTTGTATTTAATAGACACTTGGTTGCTAAAATTCAAGTAACTGCTACATACCAGCGGTCATTTTCAATCTAACTGACGGATAATGATTTGACTTCGTGTATGTGGAGTGGAGTGGCATATCCTAGCTGTAAGAATCAGTATTAGTGGAATTAAAAAAAAAAAGAAGCTCATCTGAATTTTTGCCATGGAAATAGTGAGGTTTGCAACTTTTCGTCTGTGGGAAATAGGTTGTAGAATGGAAATTTCTTCATTCCTTTATAAGCACGCATTAAGCGATTTTATCGACTCTCGCTGCTAGGTTTGATCTGAATGCCCAGTTTTATATTTACACACGCTCTATCCCTGATATTGAACATTAACCCATAAATATAGCCTACCTATACTTTTATCCTATTGCTCTCGTTCGCCGATTGAGCGCTATGGAGAAAGGGAATATTTAACGGCTGCTGCTCCTGCTTAATTCGCCAAAATTGAGGGTCCTGTCTGCAGTTCTAGCTTTTATATACATCACGTATATAATATGGTAAATGATTCCCTTTCTCTCCTGCTCCGATAGCATACAGGTAGAGTCAGCGAAACAGCCAGTCTCTGAATTATATATATATATATATATATATATATATATATATATATATATATATATATATATATAAAATTCAGCTTTTTTTCATGTGGTGAAGGAATGTATGTTTGTTGTCAATGTAACACGGACGGTTTAACCCTGTAGGCTGGCCAGCTAGTTGTGCAGATGCAGCTTTTCGTCTCTGAATATGTTACGTTGACTGCAGAATCGAAGAATGGACACAATTAATTTATCGACTCTGGTTTTAATTGATTTTCTATCTATTTATATGCACATCTATAGATCCGCTTTGAGAAAGGCGCTTTGCTTCTCATTGGCTCACATCCTTTATCCTAGTTGTGAAAGTTTTTTGATTGGTTTGTTGAATGATCTATTTTTAAAAATGTCGACATTTTAGTGCCCTTTTTATTATTTGTTTATTTTTTTTTCTTACATCTTCGTTGTTAAAATCTTGGTTGTTCGAATTATGGCTTTGTTTTCCTGGTTATTTTTATTATACGTTTATTTTTTTTACTTGGTGAAATTTCGCTCTTGTTCTTTCGTTTTTTTTTTAAATTCATTTTTTCTCTATCATCACAGATCAGTCTTGTTACGGTGAACAACTAATGCATTTAATGAGTCCACCGTAGGAGACATCCCCTAATTTAGATTTAAAAACTGCAAATCTAATTAAAAACAAAACAAGACAGGAATACTTAGAAATGTGATGGCATTGTTTGGAACAGAAAATATTCCTATAACTCTAGATACATACATAACACAACCCATACATTCTCTCAAAAGTAAAAATAGAATCATCCTTGATAATGGTTAATAATATAACTGAAAACACTTGAATATGTAGAACCTTTGGACAACTTTTACATACTTTGTGTTCAGAAAAGAAAACACTTGTACGTACACAAGAAAAATTAAATAAAAAGTTTAATCACAGTAAAATGTCAGTCGTCATTAACAGTACATGTATAAAAAGATTGCTAATAAATACCTAAAATATATATATATGTAATATATATATATATATATATATATATATATATATATATATATATATATATATATATATATATATTTGAATAGAAGACAGACCACGTTAAGATTCCATGTAATAAGCTATTTCACCATAACCCCTTTAACAGGGTTCTGGATCATCAGACTTTACTTCCAAAAGCTGAAATGAAAAATGAAAAAGAAATTCACACGTTTTTTACGGACCTCATCAAGTATACGCAAAGTTAACGAAGTGAGGAAGTGAGGTGGGAGAGAGGATATGAGTGTGTCATATGTATCATTTAGTTTTCTATTTTAACCCCACTGTGTCGGCTGGATGTTGCTCAAATTTAACGCGTCTCGTCTCTAGATAAAGGTGGTTAAGGGGTGAGTGATAAGAACTACATTAAAGGGAGACGTTACAATAACCCCAATAAATTACACGACAGGTTTCATTCAAATTCTTACACGCTGTCACTTCGCGTTACTTTAACGTGCATATTTGGGAGGTTAAGGTTTGATAAATATGTAAATTTTAAAACAATCTACGAAGAAATTAATTTGAAATTCGGTGGAGTTTTGGGTATTTTCTATGAAGCAATCGATTGGAAAAATCCATAGACAGAACATTGGAAGAGTAATCCCATTTATATTTAGTACTTTTTCCACTAAAAATTTTATCTTATAGCTTGTTAGGTTGACATTTATTCGTTTGATTTTTGTTCATTATGTAAACTCGTGATTGTTTTTGATTTTTGTTCATTAAGTAAACTCGTGGTTGTTTTTATGTATCCAATTATCAACAGTTATTCCCATTTAAATAATTTTATTTTCCACATTGGAGTAGTATCTTTCAATCTCAATTAAAATACTAGTCCAAAACTTTCCCTTCGTGCTATTTAGAATTCACTTCCAATTGGAGAATATTAGAGGAGAAATTTGGAAGAGATGTCACTAGCAGAAAAGTAGGCCCTTCTTTTACATTTTCTTATCTACACATGCCTTAAACCCCTATTTGTAACCACATACCTATATCGTCTTATATGCCTATGAGTTCCTATATGCACCTACACACACATTCACACGAAACGATATATGTATATTTCCATCTTTACACATATACACCTGTAGAGAAAACGCACATCCACATGTCTCCATACCTATCTCCATGTATACTTATGCATACTTACATACATACATATACATACACACACGTATGCATACGCAATCTGCAGAATATCTACATGCCCACATATGCGTTAATTTGCACTTACATATATCTATCCACGTATTTGTCCCTATTCTCATGTCCACTTGCGCATCCACTTATGCCTGCGTTCGAAGACTATCTCAGTATTTAATTACATTATCTATGTTTTTACACCTATAATATTACCCGATATTTCATATTTATGGCAAACCATATAAGTACCTAACTAATTGTACATCTCCATACTCACAAAAAAACCCCCCCAAAAACTGGTATGCTTCTTTTTCCGTATAAAAACATATACATGTTCATATCAACAGGTGTCTCAGTGTGCAAATACATTATCATAGTTGTATACATACAGTTATGTTATCGTTCTTGTGTGCATAGTAATATTTCTAAAAAACAAAGGGAATATAAAACATTCAAAATTGCTGTTCCTTTATGATTATTTCTTAGTGTACTTGCTTAGGTTTAGGTTGTTTTTGTGCCGGCATTTAAAAACTAGTTTCATTGTGTCTATTTAGTAGTATGTCTGGATCTTTATGTTTGATTATGAAGATTTTCTCCTTCAAACATGAGTTGCATCTGTCTCTGAAGTTTTTGGGAGTTCTGGCTCGATATTATTGATATATATATATATATATATATATATATATATATATATATATATATATATATATATATCAGATAAACCTAAGGAGCCAGGCAAATCTACCAGGTTTGCCTGGCTCTTTAGTTTTATATTAGGTTTGCTCTACTTCGTGTATTGAGCACTTTACGTAGTTGTCTTTTACTCGTTTTGGAGGTTTTTGTTTCTTTGAGCTTGAACTCTGGACGATTGTTTTCGCCTCAGTTTCATGTTCTTGGTTCTTTCTTTCTTTTTATTCTTTATTTTTCCTTGCATGCTGGTTTGTTCAACTACAAGCCGAAATACCCATGGTTTTTCCAAGCGAGTGCCACCATCTATCTATCTATCTATCTATCTATCTATCTATTGCCTCAAGCCGGGATCGAAAACCTTACCCTAAGCCATTGGCGGTCGGCAGGGATGGAGGTGAATTTAGACATATTTTTAGATAAGTACGTCAGTGACTGGAGAACATGATTCGTCTTAACGAAGAGTCATGTATCAGTATTATTTAATCCGTTTATTTTTCGTTATCCTTATTATTGTATCGCTTGTTTTTGCCACTGTTTTTATCTAAATTTCTTTGAATAATTTTTCTTTGTGCCTATTATTTTTTTGTATATATTTGACATAAAGTTTTATTCATACACTTTCAGTTGACTCTTTTAGCCTTGATTCTATGGCGTTATTATTTTATCCTTTTACTTTGACACGGGGTTTTTGTCAAAATGTCCAATTTGAATTGCATTTCCTTCGACCAATAGTTTTATCCATCTTTATTTCATTTGCTTTTTTACATTGTGTCTTTTATCAATTTTCTTTGAATAACGTTTTTTTTTTTACTTTGCAATCTTTTGTCAATACTTCAATATTTCATTAGACACAGTGTTTTGTCAATATTCTTTTAATAGGAGTTTTCTGTAGTTTTTACTTCACTATTTTTCTAAGAATTTTTCATTGATGCCACGTATTTGTCAATACTTTTTGATACACTTTTCTTCAGCCCAAACATTTCCTTTACAAAATATCGTTGTTAGCTTTCTTAGTCAGTCTCGACATAAATATATGAAACAGATTGTCGCCTTTAGGTGTTGAATTGAATGTCCACTTTTATATTTACATACGCTTTATCTCTAATATTGAGTACTTTAACCCATAAATATAGCATACCTTAAAACTATATATTATGGTATACATATTATTATTTGATCATATATATATATTATCATTATATATAAGTTAAATTATATCATACCAAATTATATCATATATATATATATATATATATATATATATATATATATATATATAACATATAGCAGTGATATCATATTATATATTATATTATATTATATAACATATAGCAGCTACATAGACCTTGTGCCCGACGAGCTGGTAATCCAGCGAATCTTTAGTCGCACACTAAAACGTAGATACACATATATGTACCAATGTGCTTGCTTATAACTACCCATTTTGATTTGTCTTATAACTACATATACGTTTTGATTTATCTTATAACTATATATATATATATTGTCATCTTTGATAATGGCTTATGTGAGCCGAAAGCTTAGATTGGATATAAACATGTATCAATATGGTGATTTTTTTCGTCCTTCAATGATAATGTTATTAAGCTTATCAGACAATATGAAAGAAACTTACTAAAAATAAATAGACAAAACTTGTCTATATTATTTAAATGAAATATGCACCAATGAAAAATTGCTGCCTAAATATACACAAGATATATATATATATATATATATATATATATATATATATATATATATATATGGTATAAGATAAGAACAAATGTAGTATAATTCCACTGTCCGTAGGATTTAATTTTAAAAAGGGGCTTAATACAGAGTAGAGCTTGATATTATTTATTATAGGAGATTAAAACAAAAGATTTTTAACATGCATTTGTTTTAATCTCCTATAATAAATAACACACACACACACACATATATATATATATATATATATGTATGCATATATATATATATATATATATATATATATATATATATATATATATATATATATATATATATATGTAGAGAGAGAATGAGGGAGAGAGAGAGAGAGGTCGAGAGAGAGAGAGAGAGAGAGAGAGAGAGAGATTTATGTGACTATACAGAATCTGTACAGCCACTGTTTTTCTTTGAAGAAAAGTTAATGTCGAAAGTCTTTTTCCAATTCTAAAACATAATCGCTTAAAATTTAAAGTGTTTCTTCTCAATTGTAGGAAATATCGTTAAAAAAAGAATATATGAACTATGAACTTTCCAGCTCACCCTCGTATTGATAAATGTCAATATAGTTTTTCTATATTGCTAATCTTGAAAGATAGAAATTGAATTTACAGAAAATATTCACATGAATTCAATAGCTTCCAGCTGATCTAATCAAATGTAAATTTGCTAATTTAGTTTTGGTCTTATTTATTTCACCAGAATTTTCTTTTAATTTATGCTTCATTTTTATTGATATATGAGTAGCTTTTTATAAATTCCTTATGTTAAATATGAGTAAATAATAAACGGAATTAGAGTCGGTGATAATAGCTTTGGAAATATCATTCCGACAATGTAGTTGGATTAATATAAATGATCATATATTCAGATCAAATACGGACAATATGTCCAAAATAAGACGCATATATATACAGTCCTCAAACCATACACTGTATATCTTACTTCGGCCTCATTAAAAGCATATCTTTTATACGAGAAGAAAGACTTAAAATACTATTCCGTAATACATTATTATACGTTTAGGTTTTCGTTCAGCGGTTAGATTCGAATCATGTTCTTAAATAGCCTCGTCAAATTGAGATTTTTATATGGATGTCATTCAGGGTTACCCAAAATGTCTAAACTGTTTTCTCAGATGAATGGTTAAAATGTAACCGAGTAACGAAGCTAATATAATATGTCTACTTTATGCCAGCAAAAAACGTTAGCTGGGGTAGGTGCAATGAGACATTCTCCAGGTTAGCGACATCCATGCTGATGGAAGGCCAAAAACAGTTAAAATGCGTTAAAATTACCAAGCCGTTTCTTGTCCCAGCTAGTAACAAATCATCAAGTCATCAATCAAATGCAATTGGAATCTTTAAGAATATTTATTTAGCGTAAGTTTTCACAGTTCTGTGATTTTCAAAAGGTAAATTGGGATGGAGAGACGTGAAACCGCCAGTTTGACCTTATCGAATCGATCAGACAGGACAGCAATAAATAGTTTATAATAGCAATTTGAGAAATGATACGATCGAGAGGGCCGTTTATTAAAATTAAGAACAACGTAGGCCCAAGGATAGAGACTTGGGGGACACCCACATTAATGCAAAAAAGATCAAGAAGAGTGGCCATTCAAGACAACTTTCATTTCCTGATTTTATAAGAAAGCTTGATTCAGATCAACAATTCGTCCAGAAATATCATAACTTGAGAAGAGACAAGTGTGTAAAAAGCCTTCCAAAACAACAGTTCAAGTCATGCAGCATAGCTACGGAAAATAATGGGTATGTCTTCATTCACATAAATACAGTAGTAAATACTGTATGTTGGTCTGCAGTTGGAGATTCATTGTGGAATTCACTTGACTCACTTCTAGCAGTTGACTACTACTTCTACACGCCGCTGGCGAATCTTATACGTGTTGTTCTTGTCCTAAGTATTATCGTTCATTACCAACCTTCATTTGATTATTCTATTCAGTAATCTTTCCTAGGTTACAATACCAAGATTCAATATTTTTCCCTAACGCTTGGCATACTCTTCCAACAATAACCATTAACACATCAGCAGTTGACCCAATGAAGGGAAAGCTATATTGTTTGTCAGAAAACACCGTGTGGGGAGATGCTTAACAAATTCAGTGTTGTTTAGAACATACTTTGTCAAAGATGTCTAACTAACCGATACAAGGATCAGATGTCTATTAGCAATTTACTCCTATCTTTAAGAATTTAGGGATGGAATGTTACTAGTTTGGTCTTGGCTTATATATATATATATATATATATATATATATTAAATAATTAAGGAAGAGACAAACTTAAGGTTCCATGACGATAATTTATTTCCCCAGAAATACGTTTTTCCTGGTTCATCAGGTTACATCTCTAGTTACAAAGGAATTTGGCTTCTTTTATTTTAAATACAAGTTTTTGATGGATAGTTTTAGATTGATACAAGGTGACAGAGGGGGGAGTGAGATGGGGGAAGGCTATAGAATGATCTAAATTAGAAATGGGAGATAGGGTTAGGGGTGTGATTTTGAACCATCTTTACTTAGTTATATAGGTTCAAGTGTACTCAGTGAAGAGGTCAGCCAATTTCACCTATTAAATAAGTTTTTAAACAGGAAAAGGAATTATTAATTTTTATATACTGCTTTTTAAATTTTAAATTATATATATATATATATATATATAATATTTTTTTTGTTTAAAATGATATGGGATATTGTTATGGCGATTTGTATATAAAACACCCACTTGAATAAACAAGTAAATAAATAGATAATCAGATGGACAATAATAAAACACAATCCTCCCGACACGAAACGACTTGTAGGCGCGCCATAAAAATATCCCTCACTGAGAACCAACTAAAGGGTGACCGCAAACATTAGCCTTAAAATAGATACCCTACCCAACCTTAGCAAAACATCTCAGAAGATGATGAATCTATTGATAAGAATTAACTCTCTGACCACTTAACGAAGGAAAATAGTCTAGCCACTCCCACAATAACGAATGTTGTAACGGACCATGCCTAAAAATACACGTAAACCGAGAGATAGCTTATTCCTAAAATTTCGCTTGAAGATAAAACGGGACTAAACACCACAATCCAACTTAATTTTAATAATTATTTGGATGGTTTCGGCTCTCGATTTTGAAACATGAAAACTCTTATGTAGCGAAGGAATCATATTTTTAAACAAAAAAATATTATTATATAAAGCTCTACTTCTGTATGGAGCACTGTCTTCTTAAAAATAAAAACAAAAATACTAAGAAACTCCGAATTATGCACCCAATGTGTTCTTTTCTATTTTCTTCATACCTGTGCACATATATATATATATATATATATATATATATATATATATATATATATATATATATATATATTGTTAATAAGCTTTAATGTATTGTCCTGTGGTAATTAAAAATTGTATTAATCAAGATTAATTATATTATTAATAATATTATTAATATATTTTATTTTTATTTTATTCCTGCTTTGCTGGTAATATTTAATAGTTTATATATTAACTGAAAATTATATTTATGTCTCTTTTTCAAGTGTCAGCGCGATATGCTTATATATGATAACTCACTCTTTCTTTCTTCTTCCTCTCCCCACTTCAATCTTTCTTTCTTCTTCCTCTTTTTCCCCTCC